AAGAAAATGGCACTAGGCCAATCTTGGGCCCTTCACCATCTCATGTTAAGGCCCAATAGAAAATGGGCCAAGTTTCCTTCTTCTGAACTTCGCCCTACTCACCTGGTTCCATTGAAAACCGGAAATTCCACGGACAGGCCGCCATCTCCCTCCTTCCTCAAAGAGAGAGAGAAAAGTTCAGTTCTTACCGGCAGCCGTCATGTCGGCGAAATGGCGGGCTCTGCAGCACCGCCACCGTTACACCTACAGCGCTGTCGTCTTTCCTCAATCCTTCACTGATTCCTTGAACCAGTCATCTCTGTCTACGTCCTCCCTGAGCTTCTACTCGGAGCTTCAAGAGCTAATCTCTCTAAACTCCATTTATGCCCAAGTCAATCACGCCAAGAAAGTCGCTGCTTCTTTCATCGAGTTGTTACAATCATCAGGCAATAGTGGAGGAGAAAGAGAAGAAGTGGTTTCAAAAGCAGTGCGGTTCTATTTGGAGATTTTGTTCTTAGAGAATTCCTTGCCTCTGCATAGAACCTTTGTGTCAGTTTTCGCAAAGACCCGTAATTTCCAGTCTGTAATTGTTGAGTGCTTCCGGTTGCTTTGTACTGAGTATGGCACAATGAGCAACAGAGGGAAGCGGTTTTGTGTCTCACGCGTGGCCTTGTCTGTGATGAGTATGCCTAAGTTGGGATATTTAGTGGATGTGGTTGAAGACTGCTCGGTTTTGGTTGCTTGGGACATTGTTATTGGGTTGAACAGTGTGGTTTTGGAGACTAATGAGTGGGCTAGGCCTTCCCCAATTGCTATGGAGCAGTGCCAGGAGGCTTTGTCTTGCTTGTATTACTTGCTTCAGCGTTTCCCGACAAAGTTTAAGGATTTGGGCAGAGAAGATTCGGATGCAATGGAGAGGGTTGTGGTGGTTCTGATAAGTATATTGAAATCAGTGGCCTTTTCACGGGATTGTTTTGTGGCGGCTGGTGTGAGCCTTTGCGCTGCTTTGCAAGTGTGCCTCGGTGCAGAAGAGCTTGGTTTGATTATTATTGAAGGTATACTCTATCAAGCTACTTGTAGTTTTGGTAGTTCTGGTGATGATGTGTTTAGGGATGCTATTTGTAAAGTTCCATTTGAAGGGGATTTTTGTTCTGAAATTCGTAATCTTTCTGCCTTAAGTAGGCTTTGCTTGATGAGAGGCATACTTACTGCTGTTTCAAGAACAGTTCTCAATGCCCATTTTGTTGTGTCAAGGGATAAATTGAACGGTTGTCAACCTCATGAAAATGGTGTTAATTCCATTAAAACTATATTGTATGATGGGATTTTGCCTGAGCTATGTGATTACTGTGAGAACCCTACTGATAGCCATTTTAATTTCCATGCATTAACTGTGATGCAAATTTGCCTACAGCAGATTAAAACATCAATGTTGGGTAATCTCACAAACTTGTCAGAAAACTATGATCCACTGCCAGAGGATATGGGGGCGCGAATATTGAGGATTATATGGAATAACTTGGAAGATCCCCTAAGTCAAACAGTCAAACAAGTCCATCTTATTTTTGATCTTTTCTTAGATATTCAGTCTGCTATTCATGATACAGATGGTAATGAGAAGATAAAGTCATTACTGCAAAAAATTGCTTCAGATCTTCTGCGCTTGGGGCCACGATGTAAGGGTAGATATGTTCCATTAGCTTCATTAACCAAGAGGTTGGGAGCAAAGACCATGTTGGATATGTGCCCTGGTCTGCTGTTTGAAACAGTACAGGCATACATGGATGATGATGTGTGTTGTGCTGCAACATCATTCTTGAAGTGTTTCCTTGAATGCTTGCGTGACGAGTTCTGGAGTAGTGATGGTGTTGAAAGAGGGTATGTTCTCTATCGACAGCATTGCTTGCCCCCCTTTTTGTATGGCCTTGCTTCTGGAGTTTCGAAGCTCCGCTCGAATTTGAACACATATGCTTTGCCAGTTTTATTAGAAGTTGATGTTGATGGTATATTTCCCATGCTTGCTTTCATCTCTGTTGGGCCAAGCAGTGAGGATGATGAACTCTTATACCCTGAGCTTGATGGTACAGACATGGAACTTAGTGTAGAGCAAAAAGTAGCTGTTTTGGTATCCCTGCTTAAGGTGTCTCGTTCACTGGCTTTGATTGAAGGGGACATTGATTTATGTGAATATTCTACAAAATTTAATGCAGATGGTTGGCTGGAAAGAGAAAACCTTACCTATGCCCTTGTCTGCATAAAGGGGATAACTGTTAGGGTCCTAGTTGGGTGGCTCTTGTTGGCTTTGACCCATATTGATGAGTCACTCCGTGTAGATGCCGCTGAGTCTCTTTTCTTGAATCCTAAGACAGCTAGTCTGCCTTCCCATTTGGAACTTGCTCTAATGAAAAAAGCCATGCCATTGAATATGAGGTCTTCTTCAACAGGTTTTCAGATGAAATGGACCAGCCTGTTCAGAAAGTTCTTTTCTCGAGTACGTACTGCCCTGGAGAGGCAAGTTAAGCAAGGCAGCTGGCAACCTTATGTAAAACACAAAGATGGTGAACTGACTTTATTGAAGGGAACCGAGGAAAGTGTTATAGGAAGAGCAGAGGAATTATTTAATTTTATGAGGTGGTTGAGCTGTTTTCTCTTTCTCTCATGTTATCCTTCTGCTCCTTATAAGAGGAAAATAATGGCCATGGAGCTCATACTTATACTGGTCAATATTTGGCCAGTTCTACCTTCTCAAGAAAACCATGGTTCTAGTTACCTTGAGAACTCTCTTTATCCCTACAGTCAAGGAATTACTTCGCCTGAGTTAACTTTCTTGTTAGTTGGATCTGTAATTGATAGTTGGGACAGGCTGAGAGAGAGTTCCTTTCACATATTACTACGTTTTCCCACCCCACTTCCTGGCATTACAACCCATGACATGGTCCAGAAGGTAATTGCATGGGCCAAGAAATTAGTTTGCAGCCCACGTGTGAGAGAGAGTGATGCTGGAGCTTTGACTTTGCGGCTTATATTTAGAAAGTATGTGCTGGACCTTGGGTGGATGGTAAGAGCTTCATTTAATGTTGTTTCTTCCCGTTTGCAGTGTGAACTCTTAAATGGGGATTGTGTTGTTTCTAAATCTATGCACCCTGTGATGGAATACATACAATCACTGATTCATTGGTTGAATGCTGCTGTGGAGGAGGGAGAGAAGGATTTATCTGAAGCATGCAAGAACAGTTTTGTTCATGGTTTATTGCTTACTCTACGATATACTTTTGAGGAATTGGATTGGAATTCTGATGCAGTCTTGTGTTGCATTTCTGAAATGAGATATGCATTAGAGAAACTTTTGGAGCTGGTTATGCGGATAACTTCATTGGCCCTTTGGGTGGTTTCTGCAGATGCATGGTATCTGCCAGAAGACATGGATGAGATGGTTGATGATGACGCATTCTCGTTGGATGTTAGAGATGAGATTGCTGGGCCTACAACTTTATCAGAATGTGAAGACAGTGGTTCAAAACTTATACTGGATGCAAGATCATCAGAACAAGTTGTTATGGTTGGTTGCTGGCTGGCTATGAAAGAGGTAGTTCTCCTACAGTTTTGAGTTTGTTCATTGGTATGCAGCTGGTAATAATGTAATAATGATTTGTGCTTGTTGCTAAAATCAAGACAAATAAAAAAAATTTGTGGCTGCTAATACATTCAAATTTCAAACACACTAGAACCAGATGAAAGAAATTTCTATCATGTAATCCACATGCCCATTAGTTTTAGGTTTTACATGAAGTATTGATGAGCATGTTAACATTATACTTTCTGGCATTCAGGTAAGTCTTCTCCTGGGAACAATCATTAGGAAAATTCCATTGCCAAGTAACAGTTCTTCAGATACATTAGAATCTAGTGCTGCATCTGTTCCTGTGATGGCTGTATCTGATGGAATGCTTGATCTGAAGCAACTAGAGGAGATAGGGAACCATTTCTTGGAAGTTCTTTTGAAGATGAAGCATAATGGTGCAATTGATAAGACAAGAGCTGGCTTTACTGCTCTTTGCAATCGTCTACTTTGTTCAAATGATCCACAGTAAGAATAAGATCTATTTTAGTCCTTTTTAAGTTGCTGCATTCTTACCTTATCTATTTATTTACTTACTTGTTTTCCTTTGATATAAGATGTTTCTATAGTGATGATAGCTGAATCAGGACCTTTTTCTTCATTATCTGTGATAGTCTTTAAGAACAGCATTGCCTATAACAAAGCAAAACAAAGAAGACACCTGAATTATTAATTGGCTTGTTATCTGTGATTGTCTTCGACAGAGATTAGCAAATACTATATTTCTTGGATGTTGTGTTATCTTTTAAGCCATTAAGGTTTGATCACCAAATTTGCAATCTTCTTCTCCACATATTGTGTAATTTGAAATTGTGAACATAAGATAGGTGGCTTCATTCTTCTATGAGGTTTCTAGGGTACACTACTTGAAGCATGTAATGGTCACTTTATTTACATTCTAAAAATGATTTTTTTGCCCAGTCATTAATAAAAGCTTGGAGGGGTGTGGGGGGTGAATTGTAATTTTGAACACTTTACTTGATTGGTTTCATTAAGGATTGTGTTGTGAAAATCCTTCAGAGAAATTAACATATCTGATATTCAAGATTATTAATCATGTATGTATCTTCCTAATCCTTAAGATTTGTCTCCATATTAGGCTTTGTAAGTTGACAGATACTTGGATGGAGCAACTAATGAGAAGAACAGTGGCAAAGGGACAACTAGTTGATGATTTGTTAAGAAGAAGTGCTGGTATACCTGCAGCTTTCATTGCCCTCTTCCTCTCAGAACCAGAAGGTGCTCCCAAAAAGCTCCTGCCACAGGCACTCCGGTGGCTAATAGATGTAGCTAATGGGTCATTGCTGAATCTGGCTGAAGCCAATGACACAAACAGTTCATCAGGCAAGAGTTCATCAATGAACCCAAGCCAAGACAAGGATTTGGCACTGCCCTCTGAGATGATTGGAAGTGAGAGAGCCTCAAAGATCCGAGATGAGGGTGTCATTCCAACAGTGCATGCATTTAATGTCCTCAGAGCTGCTTTCAACGACACCAACCTAGCTACTGATACTTCTGGTTTCTCTGCTGAGGCTTTGATTGTTTCAATTCGCTCCTTCTCTTCCCCTTACTGGGAGGTTCGAAACAGTGCTTGTCTGGCATACACTGCCTTGGTACGTCGCATGATTGGGTTCCTTAATGTTCAGAAACGAGAATCTGCAAGACGTGCATTAACAGGTCTTGAATTTTTTCATAGGTATGATTTCTTTGGTTACTGCTCTATCTCATTGGCGTATTCTATGCATTTTTTTAGATTGTCAGTAAGTCATCTAAGTTTAAAAAGTCTAAATCCTTGCACCAAGATATGTGACTTGTTAGTTTGATTATATTGAAACTGGGAGTGTCAGATCCTTATCTTGTATCTGCCAGACATGGTTATTTTCTTCTCTCAACTTAGTTATTTATCTTGTCTTCTGTTTTTCTGAGGTCTGAACGTAAAGCCATGGATCAGATTTTATGAATCGGAGGACCTGGATGGATCTTGAGTGTCCTGATTTGCAGAGACCATGATTTATATCTGGATTTTGCCTTCTATTTTTGTTTTAGGTTTCTTACTATCCTCTTTGAGGAACTAGCTAATAGAACATTGAGCAGCCACATGGCTAAAACAACATTAAGCAACATTTTTTTTTTTTTTTGACTAACAATTGATTAAATTTTATGGTGAAGGTATCCCTCATTGCATCCGTTCCTGTTCAGTGAACTGAAAGTTGCTACCGAATTACTCGGTGATACATTGCCTGCAAAATCAGAATCTAACCTGGCAAAAGTTGTGCATCCAAGCTTGTGTCCTATGCTGATTCTTTTATCCAGGCTCAAGCCGTCAGCCATTGCAAGTGAGACTGGTGATGACCTGGATCCCTTTCTGTTCATGCCATTCATTAGGAAGTGCTCAACCCAAAGCAATCTACGTGTTCGTGTTCTTGCATCTCGAGCTTTGACGGGGCTGGTATCTAATGAAAAATTGCCAACTGTCCTCCTCAATATTGCTACTGAATTACCTTGTACAGAGAATAAAATCACAGTAGCTCCTTCGTCATCCATCTCCTTACACCCTGCCAATGGAACCTACTGTGCTTCCTTTAATTTACTTCATGGAATTCTTTTGCAATTAGATTCTCTCCTTGATACAAATTGTAGAAATCTGGCTGATTTCTCAAAGAAAGATCAGATTCTGGGCAACTTGATTAAAGTTCTTGTGATGTGTTCATGGATTGCTAGTCCAAAAAGATGTCCCTGTCCCATTCTCAATGCCTCATTCATTCAAGTGTTGGATCACATGCTTGGTATTGCAAGAACATGCCATGCAAGCAAAAATTTTTTTGCCATTCGAGACCTGCTTTTGGATTTATCTACAGAGTGCTTAGATGTGGAAGCTTCTTATGGACTGTCATATTATGATCCAACAATAGCTGAAGTTCGTCAACAAGCAGCCATATCTTATTTCAGTTGCGTGTTTCAAGCACCTGATGAAGTAGATGAAGAGGTTCTTCAAATTCCACAAAGACCTTCTCCACTTGATTCTCCATCTGATTTAAGTCTGTCAAATGTACCCAAAATGGAGAATGGTTTTGCTGGACTCGTTGAAAGGTTGGTCCGTTCTTTATCTGATTCTTCATATGAAGTTCGACTAGTAACTCTGAAGTGGTTACTTAAGTTCTTGAAATCAAGAGAATCTGTCAGCAGTGTTCATGGTTCAACACATAGCAGTGAGACAAGGATTATTCATAACTGGATGAAGTTTAACCTTCAGACAACATTGATTAACCTCTTGGAACTTGAGAAGAATCACAGGTGTACACATTACATCCTGAGGATTATTTTCACTTGGAACATGCTTAAGTTTGAGAAACATGATGAAGAAAAGTGCATTGGATCAAGTTACGTTGGTGCAATGGATTGTCATTCTGTGTTCCAGCTTTGGAATGTGTTGATGTCCTCTTACAAAGTCACAAGACATGCTAAAACCCGAGAAGCACTCATCTGTTGCCTGGCTATCTGTGTTAAGCAATTTGTGAGGCTATATACTAGTTCTGTTCTTACTAATAAGGAGCAGAAAATCACCGAAGGCAGTGAAACTTGTCAAGTGGAATCAGCTACCTTGTATGAGTGCATAATCATTTTTGTTGACCTAATTAAGCAGCATGGTTCTTCATCTGAACCAGTGAACATGCGCAAGTCAGCAGCTGAGTCTATGCTAGCATCTGGTCTACTGGAACAAGCTCAGCTTATTGCTTCTTCTGTATTCAATCATCAAAGCTCTTCAGGAAATTCATATGCATGTTTTGAACCACAAGAAGCTGCAGATAATTATGCATGTCGAGTACTGGAGGTATGGTTCACATGTATCAAATTGTTGGAGGATGAAGATGATGGAATCAGACAAAGGGTTGCAAAAGATATTCAGAAGTGTCTATTCACTAAAATTTCTGGAAGGAACTCAAACATTGGCAGGGTACCAACTCAAGTGGAAAAGGTTATTGAACAGAGTTTTGACTATTTATCTTCTCTCTTTGGCCACTGGATTGGATACTTTGATTACCTTGTGCAATGGGTGCTTGATGCAGCGGATTATGTGATTACCCAAGGTGATCTTGTAAGGCAGGTTTTTGACAAGGAAATTGATAACCATCATGAGGAGAAGCTGTTGATCAGTCAAATCTGTTGTTCCCATTTGGAGAACCTTCCCATTATAAAATCTTGGGCAGGTGATAAAGCAAATAAAGTTGGGGTTGTGAGTTATCTTTATGACTGGAGAATGAGATTTTCTCTCCAGTTGACATCATTTGCCAAGGACCATATTGGAAAACTGGGAGTTGATTGGATAGGTGGTGTGGGTAACCACAAGGACGCATTTCTACCATTGTATGCAAACTTGCTTGGATTTTACGCCATCTCAAACTGCATTTTCAGTGTGGGAACTGAGGACGAAGCATCTCTACTCTCTGGTGTTCTTGAAATGGGTACATCCATCAATCCTTTTCTTAGAAACCCTCTGATTTCTAACCTATATTGGTTAATAGTTAGACTTCACAAGACAAAAGTTGGTGCAGCTACTGACAAGTTGAACACCAAATTCCAAGTGGACATAATTTGGGATAATTTTGATCCATACTTTCTTCTTAGGTAGTGTCTAACAGCAACAATAGCATCATAGTTCATATAGCAGTGTTCAAATTCTTCTTTCAGAATGCATAATAGCCCATTTTGGGGCCTGTATGAGTTTTTGACATATTATTACCTCAGACCGTGTACCTTTTACCCATTTTGTATGCTGCAATGCAGTGTTGTGGTTATTAGCATATTATGAATTCCACTCTTATGAATCCCATTTTGGGGCCTTCAACCAAACACTATTTAAGGCTTACAAATAAAATGAATCCTAATATCTTTCCCTACTTGCTACAAAGTAAAGACCGAAAAAGTTTTGAATTTTGGACTCTCTACGAATCAACGCACAATGAGCTTTGGTTCTGCCGGTGTCGGCACACGGTCATAGGTGGCTGCAAAACTGGAAGTAGCCTTGCATAATTACACCATGGGCTGGAAGCAGTTCTGATGCAGCACAAGAGGCTGTTGACTCCTCCTCCTAGCTAGAATTATCACACAGCATTTCATCCACCAAATGCTGCCTTTCTTATTTATCTTGATCTTTAGGGAAATCTGCAGAACAGTAAGTGGAAGCAGAGTTTATACATTGATGTCTCCATCCTAGGCTCTAGTAAGAACCAGTAAGTAATCGGAACTCAGGCTGAACTCAGTCCGATCTAGATACTCGTCACTCAAACTTAACCATTGATAGGCCCACTTCAAAAGAAAAGTGAAATTTGTTAGGACTCCCTGTAATTGTTTAAATTCTTTAGGTGATAATTTATTAAAAATATTTTTCATTTTTATTATAATTGTTAACATTTTACTTATCAAAACATCTTTATTTTTATTTTTATTTTTTGAAATCCCACTTTAAAAACAGTACTAAAAAAAGCCTTCACATGACTGAAAAAAGGTTAGCGTTGAAACTAGAGTGATGGTAGGTCCTTTGGATGAGTGGATCAAAAGCAGACTAAGCATCCAAAACAATGTCGATTGAATTATAAGTTTCTAAAAATCGAGTTTAAACCAACATAAATTATTATAGTGAAAATCAGGTAGTATTGACATTAAATTAGTAAAGAAGTCAGCTTCCCTAATCATTTTTGAGCCTTGGTGATAGCAATGAAACTATAAACAAAATCATTTATGTAATAATTGCTCCTATGTTTATAGTAATTTTTATCCATTAAACTATAATAATCCTTTTCTCATTCAAAATGGAAAATTGAATGATAGTAACATATTACAGCACTAGTACAGATGATACTGTAAGAGACAATGTCATGAACTCTTTTCCTCTAGGGTTATTGGCAGCTCCAGATCCTCACCGCTCCTCTGAATCTTTAGAACCACTTTTTCACCCACGTTATAGTCATCCAGTGCTTTGTACAACTCGGCTTTGTTTTTAACCTGATGAAAGGATGCAGAACATTAAGAAATTTCTGTCACACTCACACTAATGTCTTGCATTAGGATACGGTTGGCTGCAGATTCAGTGGAAAGCAGCTTGTTCAGACAAGGTTTCAGCAAAGGAACCTCTTTTCAGGTTGAAAGCCTGGAAATTTAATTTCTATAGCCTCTAAAGTTCCCAGAAAGTAAGTAAGTTTGGTTGAATTCATCAAAAGAATTGCTCAGGTTCTTAAGTATCCCGTCATTTGGTTAAAAATAGCCTCTATTGAATGGTAAAAAGGAACCTGAGTGATTTCCAGTACAAACATTCTCTGAAAGTCCCCACTTTTATGACACAAAAGATTAGAACTCTAAAGCTGCTTAAGAAAAATGGAATACGTGTCAAAATAGAGAAACGGAAGAGGGTAAAGTTTTAGAATACAAATCTTACAGGTTTTCCATCAATTGCAACAATGATATCTCCAAGTACGATATTACCCGCGAAACCCCTGGTTGTGGGAAGCAACCCAGCCTTTTCTGCAAGACTGTTTGCAGGAACCTATGGTATAACACATCACGAAGGACTCATGCTTTTAGATGTTCTACCATTTAGCTAAAGATCAAGACCATGGGATTTGAGATTTAATTCAGATACCTGAAGGACAAGAGCTCCTTTACGAACATTCAGTTGATTAGCTATCAGGTCAGGAGCAATTTCCACATTCAAACCAGCCCGGACAACCTATGAGTGAAGCATGAGATGGAAACTATGAAATGTCTGGCATTGTTTCAGGGCATGAGCAGGTAAAAATAGTTTGGGCAATAAAATTTCAAAAATAGGGAATATATGTCTCTTATTTGCAAGGTTCACAGAACAAACAGATTTGTATGATCCAAATGCAAAGAAATGGGAAGTAACAAGTGTTCATGAATCCACTGGGAACACATAAAGAGTACAACAGTTTACCTTACCAAACTGGATCAGCTGAGGAACAATCTTGAGCACTGTCAAGGAAGGGATTGCAAATCCTACACCAGCCGATGTACCTGCAAAACCAGCAAAAAGGTAGGAATAAGCGTACAAGAGATTATTATTGCTATATCGTTATCATTGGTAACATAATACTTTAAATTTGAGATGCAAAAAGGTTCATCAGGGTTTCACAACTAATACTACTTTTCAGATTATGACATGAGAGTTGTGTATAGAAAAGAGAATTCAACTTCTCATTAAAAGAAAAAATGAAGAAAAAAAAAAAAGGAAAAGAGAATTCAAGTGACCTGTCTGAGTAAAAATTGCTGTATTAATTCCAATCAGATTTCCTTTTGAATCCAGCAAAGGACCACCACTGCAATATATAAAAGAAAACA